CTTTTTATCCTCCTCTGGTCTCAAAGCAGCTACAAAGTCAGTACAGAGCATTCGGCCAGCACAACAGAACTGGAACCAGCATGCAGCAAAACTTCATCAAATTACTTAACCGGCCTCAGTATAACTGGGTAGCTCTGCCATGTAAGGTAAAAGTCAAGATTGGTAAGGTTACTGTTGCAATGGGCAACACTTGCTACTCTTTTATTTCTTGGTTTCCAATTCTTTCATTTTCAGCTGTTTATATCCATTCCATCCCACATCCATAGCTGACCTGTTCAACTGGTTATACCCCATTGCTTGGGCTAAGAAATACTGACTTCTAATACATCGTAGCTTTTAACCAGAAAATGAGATGCATCAAATTCTGCTACCTGATCTGTCAAGCTTAGTTATTCTTATTAAGAGAAAAAAACAAAAAAAAAAAAAACAAACACCAAAGCAAAACCCACAAACCTGTAGAAATTGGAAAACCTGTAAAACTGGGAAACAAAAGTTAGCTTATGGCAGTTAAACAAGCTGCATCTCCCCAAAGATTTATAACTGTGGATATAAGGGGAAAAGCATGGATACGTGCTTTCTGTGAGACCTGCACTATTATTCATAGCATTTCCCTGCTTTGCCACATATAATTAAAAGATTGTGCTTCTCAGCTATAAAATGGAAGTCTCTCACAGAGACTTTAAATATTTGTATAAAGGTATCAGCATCTTCTATATAATCCATATGCATTTGGGAAGCTATCCTATTTCCATAATGATGCAATAGGAAAAGAATGGAATAATCAGGAAGTTCTTAAGACATAAAGAACAAGATACACAATCTTGCAAGAAGTCCCTTTCATCCCTACCAGTTTAAGGCACACTAATTCCACCGCTGTACTTTTATCATCTCTGATTAGTGTTTAACAGAACAGACATGCAAACTTTGTCTTTTTTATTTGCTCCATGCCAGGCTGTCAACAGAAAGCACGGGGAAATTGTTTGAACGTTGAGAAAGCAAAAGCATCTCTATTCAGGAGCCACTGAAGACTAGAAGCAAAATAAGATAAACTTGAAAGCTCTAATAGAATATTAAGTGCAATTCCACAGGTGCTCCAGGTTGCTCTCTCCACCTGCTTTATATCAGGGATCCATTCCTTACACATTCAGGACAAAAAAAACCAAAACCAAAACAAACCAACAACCAAACCCCACAAACACAGAGGAAGAAAAGTTCTACTAAGAATTCAGAACGGAGCCTGAAAAAAACCCAAAAAACCACAAACAAGTCTTCAAATTAAAGTCTTACGATACCAATCTTTATTCAAGACAGACCAAAAAGAAATACTTACGAGTACTTCATTTACTTACCCTGAAGACAGAACTCAAAAATATCCTACTTAGGCAGTATTAACCACTTTAAAATGAGCTGATGAGCTCCAGCTTATTTCAAGTACATATAAATTTGAAGGCAACAGAGAATGTATTTACCATTTTTATGTGTGTGTATATACATACACATTATATACATAAATCATGTATAGACATACATATTTTGCTGCCACCTTGTGAACAGTCTCTGAATAAGGAGGTTTAGTTCATACGGACCCAATTCTGCCATCTTTATTCACATTTAGCAAAACTGACTTCAATATAGACACTTTTTGAGCAGGTATTCAATGTGAAAAAGGCTGGCTGAATCAGATGCTTAGTGAAGAAGATTTTAAAAGGCTGAATAAAGTAACTATTAGTCTTCTGCAATTTCCATACACTTTCGTGTCACAGTTTATTGCCACAAACATTATGGAAAATATCACTAAATTCTTTCTGATAAAAATATTGCAGCTTTGCATCCAAGTTGTATAGCTGTCTTCAAGACTGAATAAGCTGGTGCCTGTAAACCAAAGAATAAGAGATTAAATACATCTAATTGTCCTGGTTTCAGCTGGGATAGAGTTAATTTTCTCCCTGGTAGCCGGTATGGAGCTGTGTTTTGGGTTTAGGATGAGAACCATGTAGATAACACACTGATGCTTTGGTTCTTGCTAAGTAGTGCTAAGTTGTTGCTAAGTAGTGCTCACACTGGTCAAGGACTTTTCCGCTTCCCATGCTCTGCCAGGTGCACAAGAAGCTGGGAGAGGGCACAGCCAGGACAGCTGACCCCGACTGGCCAAAGGGCTATTCCATACTGCATGACATCATCCCCAGTATATAAACTGGGGGAGCTGGCCAGGGGGCAGTGATCACTGCTTGGGGACGGGCTGGGCATCAGTCGGCGGGTGGTGAGGCAATTGTACAGTGTATCATTTGCTTTGTATTATTATTATTTGTTATTAAACTGTTCTTATCTCAACCCACAAGTTTTCCCCTTTTACCCTTTCAATTCTCTCCCCCATCCCACCGGTGGGGGAGTGAGCGAGCAGCTGTGTGGTGCTTAGTTGCTGGCTGGGGTTAAACCACGACACTAATGAAGTGTTTTGTTTGAACCAGATTGTGGTAAGGAATAGTAAGCATTATCTAAAAAAAAAAAAAAAAAAAAAAAAGGCAAAACCAAAGCAAAAATCACAAAAAAAAAAAACCAAAAAATGCCTTTTATTTGTAGTCTAGTCTACCCTAGAGAAGAGCAAACTAAAAATGATCAGCTTTGCAGAATGGTTCCATTCCTCCACAAATGTAAGTCAAGAGGAAAAAAGGAGAGAAGTCACACATTCCTCATACAGTATTCAAGGGAGCATAGAATTTGTATTTCACACTCCTAACATGGTTGTGTTTGTCTACCAAGATGATGCCTCAATTTCCCAGCTGTATGGATAGCACTTATTAGCCTTATCTTCAAAAACATTTCATCTAAACTTAAAATAAAATTAAAAACTGTGCAGAGGACACCTCTCAGGAAAACACAATCACTTCGACGCTTGACATGAGTTCCAACAGATTCAATTCTGCTCTAGAAAAATGAAAGCTATAATATGCAGTGCTTTCTTATATTTATCTTTGGGAAAGAATATCAAGCGCCTTATTTTCTATTTCTCAAATAAAGAACTACATCACAGTCACTGGATTGGGAAGATAAGAATATCACATCTACATCCTCACTAACAGTGCCAATGAGTTAACATTGCACTTACCGCTTCTGCATCATGCTCAAGCCCAATGTCATGGTGCTCCCGTTCATCATCCCGAAATTGCTTTATTATCTTTAAAAGTAGCAGTTAATTAGTAAGTCTACTTTGCAGAGAAATCAAGGCAGCTAATATACAAAACTATATGCTGTTGACCATTGCACGCACCATCTGAGGCCCAGGTCTCTCAAAAGCTTCTCAAAGACCTGATTCTCCAGTTCAGCAAAAGGGAATTATTTACAGCATTCCCCAAACATAAAGGTCTTTTAATAGTCTCAAAAGAAGTCTTTAAAAACTAAGCTGCTGTTTAATATATCACTATCTTTTTCACTGTTTCAAGAAAACCTATAACCTATAGTCATAGTAACTCGTAACACCAAATTATTCTGACAAATTTAAATAATGAAATTAAGGTCCCTGCCTTGCCAGGTAATCAGTAAGGGTGTTTTCCTGTAAGCCAACAGGGCTTTTGTCCATTCTAGCACTCTGAAGGACACTTTTTCTCTTCTGATTTTTCAACTGGGACTAAAAGGTTTAAAGAATTTTCTCTTGAGATGCCTGCAGATAACTAGGATTGCTTGATAAAGTGCTCAGAGTTGACAGGCACCCAAGCACTTGTCCCTAACCAACAGGTTCGCATCACTTTTGGTTTCATCACTAGTCCTCCTTATATTGACAGTGTGAATAACCTTGCTGCTTAGCTTTTTCTCGTTTATTTTGTGCCCCCTCAGTTTATAATCTTTATTTTCAGGGGTGGTATTTCCCTTGTGCACGTCAGCAAAACCTGGGTTACTTCAGACACTATTTCTGTAACAAGAAGACACATTTGGAGTAACCAGACTTGGCTACATGTTAAAATGAGCACAACTGAACATACTGATAGTCAGCAAAACTGGAAATGAACACGCAGACCCTAAAGCAAGCTCCCACCAAACGGAGCACAAATGAGCTCCAGGTGCTGCATGCGGAAAGAGGTCAGTCTCTCACAAGCACCCTACAGGAATGCATCCCAGTTTGATGCCTAAAATACTTGGGAAATAATTTTCTTGCAGAACTAACAAACATTAGCTCCTTACATACTCTGAGCAGTACCCAAGACTAGAACTTGAACGGGGTGCTGGCTGACAGCAGGCTCACTAGGAGTCAGCAGTGTGCCCTGGCAGCCAACAGGGCAAATGGCATCCCGGGGTGCATCAAACACAGCATCACCCGCCGGGCAAGAGAGGGGATTATCCCGCTGTATTCAGCGTTGGTGCGGCCTCATCTTGAGCACCATGTGCAGTTCTGGGCCCCACAATTTAAGGAGGATGTGAAGGCCCTTGAATGCATCCAGAGGAGAGCAACAAAGCTGGTGAAAGGGCTGGAAGGCATGTCCTGTGAGGAGCGGCTGAGGCCACTGGGTTTGTCTAGTTGGGAGGAAAGGAGGCTGCGGGGTGACCTCATTGCTCTCTGCAGCTTCCTGAGGAGGGGAGGTGGAGAGGGAGGTGCTGATCCCTTCTCCCTGGGATCCAGTGGTAGGATGCGTGGGAATGATTCAAAGCTGCGGCAGGGGAGATTCAGACTAGACATTAGGAAGCATTTCTTTACCTAGAGGGTGGTCAAACACTGGAACAGGCTTCCTAGAGAGGTGGTCGATGCCCCAAGCCTGTCAGTGTTTGGACAATGCCCTTAATAACATGCTTTAACTTGGGCAGCCCTGAATTGGTCAGGCAGTTGGACTAGATGATCATTGTAGGTCCCTTCCAACTGAAATATTCTATTCTAACTACATAATCATATCCAGTATAAGCAAAATGTTACTACGCAATCATATTTTCTCCTTTTGTTTCCCCTCTAAACCCTTCCTTTCAATTAAAAGTAATCAAAATTAAAGCCTAGTTCTCCCAATCAAAAGGGAAATGCTGAAGTACTGAAAGCATGCTGAAGCTAATCCAACATACATTTTAATTTTGGTGCTTGATCAATCTAGTGCTGCTGAAGGAAAAAACATCCTTTTACTCAAAAGAAACTTAAAGTTTCTGTTGACTTCAGCATTCTAAGTGATAGAAGAAAAAGAAATCTACTATAAATTCTACGAGCATATTATTTTAAAAGACTAAAGTCACATTAGATAATTCAATGAATACGTTAAACTACTTTTTAAGTCACAGTTAAATACCTGCAATAGTTCTTTGTACTTTTCTGGATCTTCTTCCATCAGCGTTCGGATCTGGCTATTGTAGTGATCTGAGATACTCTCCTCCACTGCCACTGTGCAAGCCATTGCACCTTTCTTGCCAAGTAAAGCGCTTCCAGCCCCTGTGATTGCGGTACCAAACATACACAAACAATGAAATCTGAAGCTATACAAATAATTTACACATTTGAAGACTTCACAAAACAACAACAATAGTAATAATACAGACTCACCCAAAACAAAACCTGCTACATTCCAAAAAGGCAATAAAACCGTAGGTCGAACTCTGTATGCAACCATTAGTTCATTGAACTTTTTCAGGTGGTCTTTTTCTTGATTCCACATTTGCTGCAAAAGAACCAGATCACAGTAAAGCATAAAACCAGAAAAATTAAACATTTCCAATAAAACTAATGAACGCGAAGAAAAACAAGCCAGCTCAGGCCACTCACACTTTGACTGCAGAGGTAACAGTATTCACATCACAAAGAGGAAACGTTAAAGAAGGGCAGATGAGGACAGTTATAAATAGGCAATGTAAAAACATTTGTAAAATAAAGAGTCTTTGTGACAATGCTACAGCGGTTGTAGTGTTGGTAACTCCGTTACCGAGCAATCCCACCGCTCTTTATAAACTCACATGTTTAAATGTGTTTAGAAAGAGATGGACAGCTGCATTACCGCGAAAGCTATGATCTTGCAACCTCACTCGACCTTTGTTAGTCCGACGCAAATTAACCAGAACACAGCCACCGCCGTGGCCCACTCACCTGGATAACCGGTCCCACGCTCGATCTACCCAAGACGGCCATTTGCCCCGCGTAAATGCGGTTCGCCCCGTACTCCCCGGCATGGTCCACCCGGATGATGCGGTCTATGACGGGCTTGTTGATGCCCTCCAGCGTCACCCGCGTGCTGCAAGGCCTGAGGGAAGCCCCTCCGGCGGGCGAGGGCCATCTCCCCCGGAGACCTGCCGGAGAGACAAAGGTGACGCGAGCTCTGCCGCCGGCCCGAGGCGGCCCCGGGCGGTGCGAGGCGGCCCCGGGCGG